GCCAGATGAAACCACAGCATGCTGGGTGCAACTCTTCTACAGACACAGATAGCTTAGGGTGTGCTGGAGTGCATGCATGAGTGTGTGTGTGTATGCACATGACCAAGTGTGTGCTGTACACCTAGAATCCCAGCCCTGAGGTGTCTGGCACAGAACGATCTTGAGTCTGAGGCCATCCTGGGCTATACAGGGAGACTATTTAATAAAGAACAAAAGAAGTGCACTCACAATCAAGCCAGCACACAAGGGCGGCGGGGGGGGGGGGGGGGGGGGGTTGGCTGTGAAGACAGATGGGAGTGTGCTTGACCTGGATGGAGTGACAGGTGAAGGCCAGCATCACCTTTCTGGAGCACACCTGCTGCGTGCTTGAGACAAGGAACTCAGGCAGGGCGAACTGTCAGATCACAGACCTTTTCCTCTCGTTCAGAGTGAAAATAATTTCAGAACCTGTCAAGTTTTGGTTTTCTTTTTCTTTCTTTTCTTTTTCTTTTTTTTTAAGATTTATTTGTTTATTATGTATACAGTGTTCTGTTTGCATGGCCAGAAGAGGGAGCCAGATCTCATTACAGATGGTTGTGAGCCACCATATGGGTGCTGGGAATTGAACTCAGGACCTCTGGAAGAACAGTCAGTGTTCTTAACCTCTGAGCCATCTCTCCAGCCCAAGTTTTGGTTTTCTTAGCATTAAACAATCTCAGTTTCCAAACAATTCACTTTGGGGAGAAGAGGGGTAGGACAAAGAAACATATTTGGTTCAGCTTCATGCTGAAGCCGTCCATTGCCAGAAATAAACACACCTTGAACTCCAGAGAGAGATGGCCAACCTCTTCCTTTTATTCTCTGGGTGAGAAGAAACAACTTTATGGTGTTTGCCCTCGTGAGAATGTCCTCTGTCTTGTGTGTTTTCATATCAGAAAGGAGGAAAAATATAGTTTCATAGCTTGCCTCCTCAGATGTTTTCCTCCCGGGAAGTAGAGACATCTAGAATTGGTGTCTGCAATGTTAGTTCAGGGACAGGACACCGTTGGGGTCCAGGCATCACACTGCTCCATCTTCTGGCTTTTTTGTTTGCTGGTTTGTTTGGAACTCAGTGTAGCTTTCCATAGCTGTTGCTGCCTGTCCTAGGGCTGACACGGGCAAGGAGACTGAGGAGGCAAGCTAACTGCAGGCCTGCTCTTCCATCCCCAGTATCTGCATCCCCAGAGCATTGGGGTCCCAGGGTGCTAGGTGCTAAGACACATGTGATGGTGCAGGTGGTGGAGATATCAAGGGACTGGAAAGCTAATTATCACAATAAAATGGATTTTTACTTCACTGACTTGAAACTGAACCTTGGTGCTGTCTCATCCACACTCTGACCTCTATGTGACCCATCCTCTCCTCCTCCCACTCCTTAGCCAGCTGCTTCTGTGAACGGAGTTGGGTCTGTGGCCACGAAGCCCTGCCTTGTACAGCTGTCACTCAGTCTCCTTTTTCTCCCTTCAAGACTGCATTGATCACCCCAGTCTGTTGAACCCTTCAGTGCTGTCGTTTGGCCTTGCTTCAGGGACTGGCTTCCAGAACCAGATTCCCTGCATCCACCTGGTGTGAACACACAAACTAGCCTTTCTGGCCTCAGTTTCCTGGACAGGTGGATGAAGATGAGAGCGACGGTTTGGGCCCTTACCTGGTGTGTCGGATACACTTACTTAGAGTGCACTGGCTGATGGTGAGCGGCCGCAAATATTGCCGAGTGATGCCAGCTCTCCACAGTTGGCGCCGTCTTGTACAGGTCTGATTTTAAAGCATTAGTGAGGTGTGCTCGCCATTAGCTCCTGTCACTTCTGAGGCTTGTTTTTGTTTTGTTTGAGGCAGGGTCTCTCTCTAGCTCAGGCTGGCCTGTAAGTAATTGAGTGATCCTTCTGCCTTCATCTCCTGAATGCTGGAATTACAGATGTGCATTAGACACCTGACTTTTTGTTAGTTTCAGAATAGTATCTACAGTCCCGTGTTTCTTGATCCCTTTCTGGCTTTTTGGGCCACAGTATCCCAGACTGTTGTCCTCATGGGTGATGCCCAGGCACAGCTGTGCTTCATCAGATGGCCCTTCCTTCTGAACTCCAATCACCAGTCAGCTCCTGGGAACAAACATGCCATGTTCTAGGATTTCCTGTCTTGGGAAAAGATAAATAACTTCACATTACCTAACTGTATTGGTTAAGGTTCTCTGGAGTAGTAGAACTGAAATGAGTCTCTCTGTACAGAAAGGGGATTTATTAGAAGCACTTACAGGCTGTGGTGTGGCTAATCCAACAATGGCTGCCTATGTATGGAAGGTCCAAGAATCCAGTAGTTATTCAGTCTGTGAGGCTGGATGTCTCAGCTGGTCTTCAGTATTTGCCAAAATCCCAGAGAAGTAGGCTCTAATGCTAGTGAAGAAATGGACCTCCTGTCGAGGGTGGGAAGAAGCAAGAAAGAGAGCAAGCTTCCTTCTTCCATGCTCTTCATGTAGGCTACCAGCAGAAGTACCCCAGATTAGAGGTGGGTCATCTCACCTCAGAAGATCTGCATTAAAGGTGTGTCTTCTCACTTCAGTGATCTGGATTAGAAGTGGATCTTCCCATTCCAAATGATGTAGTTAAGCACAAATCCCTCACAGATGTGGCTAGCCATTTTTGGATTTTAATTAATTATGGATATAGTCAAGTTGACAACCAAGAATAGCCGTCACACTGACCTTACATTATATATGTCTATGGGCTGACACCACTGACCTAGAGTTTATAATAAATGCAAGCAAGAATATCTGGGTGCATTACACACCTGTGACTCCAGGACTCGGGAGGCCAAGGCAGGCCAGCCTGAGCTACATGGTGAAACCTTGTCTCCGAAACCCAGCTAATGAATGAATGAATCAATGAACGCAAGGAACTTTGTCTCTTTTGATCATCATATTACTCCCAGGGCCTGTATGTATATGGACATGTATGGTAAGTCTGAAAATGTATTTGCTAACTGAAGAGATGGATGGGCAGCCAGTGTGGGTGGGCCGAGGAGGACTTCCCATCTCCTCCTTACTGGAATTACCAGATAGGTGCAGAGGTCCAAACTGACTTTAAACTGTTGTGTGCATGTGGGGGAGGTGTACATGTGGAGGTCAGAGGAAACTTGGTGGAGTTGGTTCTCTTCCACCTTTACGTGGGTCCCAGGAATTGATTTTAGGCCATCTGGCTCACACAGCAAATGGTTTTCCCACTGAGCCATCTCACCCCACTCCCCAGATCACAGTAGGAGAGAATTGAGGTTTTAAGTTATTCCCCACCCCACTCTCTACAGGTGGGAGGGTCTTGCTGCTGAACTGGTGCCCTCTGACAGTTGGCAGCTAGTGATGGGCTCCTTTGCTGAGCAGTCTGAAACCCTCATCCCAGGCCATTCTGTCAGGACAAATGGAGACGTAAGGGAATGCTCACCAGCAGTCCTGCCTGTGATGGAGAGCAGGCAGGTGGTCGGGGTATCTAGGGTAATGGCACTTGTGTTCAAAGATTCAGGCTGAAAATGCTTCCCAGTCCGTTAAGAGATGAACCACTGGCCAGTTGGCTGTGAATTTTAAAAATTAGTGTTTGTCACATATCTAAATCTAATGGTTGATGACTTTTGAAACATTAGGTAATCATTCCTGGGGATTTATCTGGAAGCGGTCTCCCGTGCCAATGGATAGCCTCCCTTCCAGCTCTGTACTCTGAACTGCTGTCAGCTGACAGGAAGGTGGAGGCGGCTGTTGCGTAAATCATAGTGGCACTGACAGGGTGGACTGCTGCTTGCCTCTTCCCTACAAGCCTTTTGGGGCTTTTCTGTCATCAGTATCCGACAGTGGCATGAATTTCAGTCAAAAAACGGACGTCCAAGTCACTTCAAGTTCAAATATTTGTGCCCTTGAGGGGTTGATAAAAGAAGAATGTAAATTCAAAGGAGAAAAAAATTAGCATTTGTCACATATTTAAATCTGATGGTCGACGACTCTGTTGATGTTTCCTAGTTTCCTTTGTTCCCTCACCTTGAGTTCATGGGTGTTCTCAGCTGTGACCCGACATGCCCCGTGTTCCTCCCAACTGTACGGTTTCTGTTGACCCACTCCACCCAGTGTTAGCTAATCACGTGCATGCTCCCAGAGCACGCAGGTACTTGGTGTCTCTGTGGACTTTATCCCCTTGATGTATCACACCCAACAATCTCCTAATCCGTGTCTTGATGAGCTGAGCAAAACATTGCTTCCATTCCCACCCAGGAGGGGTTAATCGCTGTTATTGAGTCTGAGTTTCCATTATTCATTGACATGAAGGGTATTTGGAGTTGGCCATCTAAATTATGTTCAACCAGTACCATTCAGAGTCAGGTGGCACCAGGTTGGGGTAGTTCATTCCTCAATTTTGGGTACCAAGGCTAGCTCAGGAAGACAGAGCTCCACTGAGCAGGTCAAAAACTCACTTTCTTGGGGCTGGAGAGATGGCTCAATGGTTAAGAACACTGACTGCTCTTCCAGAGGACCTGGGTTCAATTCCCAGCACCCACATAGCAGCTCACACCTGTCTGTAACTCCAGTTCCACAGGACCCATGGCAAAACACCAATGCACATAAAATAAAAATAAATTAAAAAAAAAAAAAACACCTCACCTTCTTAGTTTCCAGAGTATATAACAGTCAGGACAGTGAGGTCTAGAAACTCTTCTGACTTGTTATTTAAAGCAGTGGCCACTGGCTTGTGATAGCTCAGGGTCTCCATCATTTGGTCTCCTGACCCTCCATGTTGGCTCATTCCATTGCTGCAAAGCTGCCACTGAGCTGGGTTCTCCACACCTTGGGTTGCTCACTGGCCTATTTGTGTTCTTTATAAATGTCAGCATAGAATAGCCTTACCTCCCCTTATCACAAAATGGGATCTTACTATGCTCACACTTAGGTGTGAGTCAGAGTTCTGTCTCATAAGCATGTTCACTCATGGACCATTTACCTTGTTTTTCAGGCCATGGTTGCTTGTTACCCAGGCAACGGAACAGGCTATGTCCGTCACGTTGATAACCCAAATGGAGATGGAAGATGTGTGACATGTATATATTATCTAAATAAAGACTGGGATGCCAAGGTATGCAACTGAATTCAGCAGTAATGGTTTTTCCTCAAGTATTTTTTTTTCTCACAGTAATATCTGCACTTCCTATGGGTGAGGCTGGATTAACAGAGGGCAGTTCTCTCTCAAGTCTGGTTCAGTCTTGAATTGTTATGAAATGGAACAGATAATACTGTGTCTGAAAACAAACACAAATGTATTAAAACATAGTAGCATGCCTTGTCCAGTATGTACCTATAGGTGGTACTGTGGTGGAAGTGGGTCTGGTGGAGCACACCAGTAGTCCCTGTGCTTGGGAGGTGGAGACAGGAGATTCCGGAGTTCAAGGCCATCAGTGACATGGAAAGGCTGCCTGGTTCAGGGAAAGTTTCCAGTGGGAGATGAGTGTCCACCAGCCAGTTCACTTAAACAGCAGGGTGGAGAGAGAGGATGCATTTGTCTTCCCAATCTGACAGGTCTCTAAGTGTTTGCAGGATGCCTTGGCATTGGGTGACACACAAAAGCAAGGAAGCAGGCCATATTCCTAGTGGCTGACATCCCCCAGGGATGAGCCCCTAGTCTGCTGTCTAACTGTGAGTTCTAGGTTAGGTTCAGGGCAAGGCATTCACGTGCCCTTCAACTGTGAGCCCGCCTGCTCGGGAGCATTGGTTTGCTGGGCTTGCTGGTACACACCTGTGACCTCAGCATGTGAGAGGTTGAGTCATGGGGATCAGAGGCTAAGATCATCTTTCGCTACATAGAGAGTTAGACACAAACTTGGGTTATTGTCCCCAAAAAAACGAGTAACAGAATATCTCCAGATTGGTGATTTTAGTCTAGTGTTTTTCCTCACAGTCTAAAATAAAAGGACCACGTGGTGCATGTCCCCAGTTCCTCATGTAGAGTCCCCATGGCTCCCAGTGCACTTGATGTACTGTCTGTGATGACTGTCCAGTCGCCACAGAAAGCTGTGGTCCAGGTAAATGAGTTGTGTGGGTGAAGTTGAGCTCTTAGCAGTTGTGATTAGAATTTAGACCCAGGTGCAGAATGAGTTAGGAGTGGAGATGGCTCAGTAGGACCAGGCACCTGCTGCCAAGCCTGAAGATCTAAATTTGATCCATGGGACTCAGCAACTCCCAAAAGGTGTCCTCAAACTTCCACAGTACACATAAACATAGATTAAAAAATAAATTCAAGGCCATAAGTTCATCTGCTTGTTAAGTGTCTGTTGAAAGTTAAAGCCCGATGATTGTTTTATCTGATGGGATGAACCAACCATTTTACTGGGGAAGCCACTCAGCAAAGTGGCTTAGTGCTGACATCTGTGTGAACAGAAGTGCTTGCTGGTTTTCAAAACTTGCAAGTAGGTTTGGAGATCTTGTATATTTGTCTGTTTCAAGTGCTTACAACAAAAAGGAATTTTTCCATGCATTAGTGTTGTACATGGAGTCTCGGCTCACCATTACACCTTGTTAATTAACATAATTATATTCACAAGTAATCCAGCTAAGCATTTTGAGTTACTTACCTCCTCCCAATCCCCAACTTAACCGGGTCCCATTCTTGGTGGATCATACTGAATACTCTCTTTTCCCAGGTAAGTGGAGGTATACTTCGAATTTTCCCAGAAGGCAAAGCCCAGTTTGCTGACATTGAACCCAAATTTGATAGACTGCTGTTTTTCTGGTCTGACCGACGCAACCCTCACGAAGTACAACCAGCATATGCTACAAGGTAGTGTTCTGTTCACGGAAAGTTGGTTGACAGTGTGGCAGGGCAGGAGTGAGTCGAAGGGTGAACCCGAAAGTTTCTGGGGAGTGCCTGCCTGCTCTCCAGGCCCTCTTCTTAGTTTGGATGATAGTGCTTATTAGTACTTGGTCCTGAGAGTGTCAGCCTTCGCTGGGCAGTGGTGGTGCACGCCTTTAATCCCAGCACTCAGGAGGCAGAGGCAGGCAGATCTCTGTGAGTTCGAGGCCAGCCTGGTCTACAAAGCAAGTTCCAGGAAAGGCGCAAAGCTACACAGAGAAACCCTGTCTTGAAAAACCAAAAAAAAAAAAAAAAAAAAAAAGAGTGTCAGCCTTCTCTTAGCTGCTCTTTGCTTGAGGTGGAATAGGACTGAACCTCCTCCTCCTCCTCCTCCTCCTCCTCCTCCTCCTCCTCCTCCTCTTCCTCCTCCGGCATGGTGCACCTGCTAACACTGCCCATTTCTAGATCATTGGGTGTTTTCAGAACACTTTTAGAAAAGTGAAAAAGAAAAAGAGGAGCTTTTGGAAAAATAATTCTGAGAGCACAAGTGTGTGGTGCCCGCCGAGAAGGGTGTGTTAGCGCTCTTTGGTTGTGATCCCGCTCCACACGTGCTGCCATGCCCGGTGCATGCCTGCCATCCAGGGTGACCTTTCTCTTCCTGCTTCTGAGCTGTGCTTCCGTCACTGATCACATCACAGTGGGCAGCAGCTGCATGGTGGAGCCTGAAGTCATAGGTACCCTGACAAGAAACATGGGGTCCAGGCACGGCACACATGGGAGGCTAGAGATAGAGTCAGGAGAGGGGCCGCTGGGCCAGAGAACAGAGGCCAGAGCCCAGCGTGGTCTCTATAGCCCGGGCAGAGGGTAGACTGTTGAAGTCTGGAGACACATGGGTGTGAAGAAGGCAGCTCTGGAAGGCACACGTAGAAGAAAGTAGCAGGGTTTTCTGGTGAGGACTGAGGGCCCTGGGAGGCGCTTATTACGTCAAAATTCTAACTGGCAGTTAACTGACAGCCTGGGACACGGGGCAAGAGAGATTGAAAACTATCCATGTAACCCTGTTTCCTGGAAGAGGCCATGGTAGAAAGAGGGGTGGAGCCTGGGCAGAGCGGGAAGCCGCTGGCCAGTGGAAGAGTACATGTACTATACTGTCACCACTGGTCGTACTGGCTCTGCCTGCATTTGGCTCTTCAGGAGTGTTGACATGATTAGGCGGCTGTTTATTTGGGTTGTTGCTTTTCCTATGAACTTTGGCCTGGATCCACGTATTCTTACCTAATGTCAACAAGGAACCAATGGCCTGAAGCACATGCTCACATCCACAGTGTCTGTCCCTTGCTCCACTGTTTACCTCAGCAGGTACTGACACATGCTTTTATCTCAGAACAGACCTGTCATACCACATTTATTTGTGGGATAAAGTAGTCCAGTTAGGTGAGGATTTTTAGAAAAAGGTTCAGCCAAACCCAGTGTCAAAACTCAGTGCGACTTTCTAGGTAGGAATCCTAGAAGTTTCTGAGTGTGGCTTAACTCTTGCTCAGTGATGCAGCCAGAGATGTTAGACTGCTGGCCTGGGTTTCTTTGTCCCCGTCACTGTCCCTGCTCTCTGGGCCCTTTCCCCTCCTCTGTCTGTTTCTGACCATGCAGGCTGGGTGAGCATGGAGAGAGGCTGTGAGCCTCCCTTGGCTGCTGCAGCTCATCTGCGGGATGGACAAGCCACACTCGCCTGCTACACACATCAGTCTGAGGATGCTTTGGGCATTAGAAGTTGTCAGGAGCACTGTCTTCCCAGGGACCATTCTGATCCTGTCTTAAATTTCCTTCTAGGTACGCAATAACTGTTTGGTATTTTGATGCAGATGAACGAGCAAGAGCTAAAGTAAAATATCTCACAGGTAAACACAGCTGGGGGCCAGGCTCTGCCGGAACAATTGGGGACGGTGTTTTCCAAAAGCCACAGTCCAGGAGTGTTTTGCCAGATTCCTTAATTCCTTATTTTCAAAAGGATTTCTTTAGTTAGTCTTTATTCTTTTTTTTTTTTTTTTTTTTTTTAAAGATTTATTTATTTATTATGTATACAGCATGTATGACTGCAGGCCAGAAGAGGGCACCAGATCTCATGACAGATGGTTGTGAGCCACCATGTGGTTGCTGGGAATTGAACTCAGGACCTCTGAAAGAGCAGTCAGTGCTCTTAACCTCTGAGCCATCTCACCAGCCCCTAGTCTTTATTCTTATCTGCTGAGATTGTCCAAAGCTTAGCAAAAGTTTGAGGCAAGTATGAGTTAGTTACTCAAACACAAACTGATCTTTTCTGTGATGGCCCTTAGGAGCCTCAAGCTACTCCTCAGTGCTCCTCAGGTTACCTAGTCCCCTCCCCTTCTCCCTTAGATAAGGGAATATCCCTTCTTTTCTAAACACTGCCTCGAAAGAACGTGTGGCCACAAGGAATGTTCTCCCAGCCAGAGGACAGGTGCACAGACTCGCAGCTGTCAGCTTTGTGTGTAGGCCATGCACTTGTCCTGTGCCTGCCTGGCCTGGGACAGTGGCCTGTGCTGCCCAGGGATGGAGCCCTTGCCCGCCTTTGCTTTACCTCTTCCATCTCTGGAAGTCTGCCCAGCGGCCACAGGACCCACTCACTGAGTTCTAAGGACTCCGCTCAGCTTTTTGTAAGAGTGTAAGGACAGAATGTGAGTGCACTTTCTCTACTTTCAGAGCTATGGTTTGCGTCCATTCTGTGGTTTCCCACTACTTTATAGTCAGGTGGCTTTAAGTGAAAAGACAGCGGCGCTGTGTCTGTTGGTGTCTCTGCCTGCCCTCTGAGATCTGCAGAGCCGTGCACCTGCCACAGTGGCGGTGGGAATGGCTGGTGGGATGGACCTCATGGGACGCTGGAGACATGAGGAGGTATTGCTTCAAATGTTTGGGGTGCAGTCACAGGAGCTCTGGTAACTTAATCAGTGAACGCTTCTCTCTTTCTTGCAGGTGAAAAAGGTGTGAGGGTTGAACTCAATAAGCCTAATTCGGTCAGCAAAGATGTCTAGCGGGGCCTTAGGTCCAGCAGTGCTCACACCACCTACAGCCGCTCCGTTGCCTTCTGTGGACTCGCGGATGGGATAAGCAGAGACTCCTGGCTGGTATTCCAGCTGGGAGCCAGGCGACTTTGCCAGGTGTTGTCCAACAGAGGGTTCCATCTGCTGTGACTGCTGAGGGGTCAGCTCCAGATCTGTGACTGCACTTGGCCACTGACTGAAGAGGAGACGCTGTCTGAGGAGAGTGGCTTTTCCATCTGGACGTGAAATGAGGGCCCTATGTAGGATTTTCTTCATTCTTCTATTTTGCCAGATCTATCATCTAACTGAGTTCATTTCATCTCTTTTTTATATCAAGTTTGAATTCGGGGAATTTTTGTATTAGGTACAATTTATCAAAACTGAATTAAGGAAAAAAAATTACAGTATTATTCCTCAAAGTAACATCAATCTATTTTTGTAAACCTCTTCATGCTATTAAATTTTGCCCTAAAGACCTACGATGATTGTCGCCAGTGAATGATGATTCGTTTTCTTTTGACTGAAAGTAAAGAACGGGCGTTGAGTTGCAGCCGAAGTCCACGGGTTTTTCTTGGCCTGTCTCACAGTAGTTTGAACTTGTAAAGGTCTCTGCTGTCATGCTTTGACCTTGGTGATAGTGAAACCTAACAGTAGATGGTCACCACTGACTACCAAGTAACCTACAGAATTATGAGAGGAAAAACGCCACAGGAAAAGGGTTTATCTTTTAAGTTAATTTTTCAAAGCTAAGTGACTGGCACTAAATAAACTTGAGGCTCTTCTCTGCTCTGGTTCCCAAGACAAAGGGCTTTCTTCCGCTTCAGGTCTGGCCTGCCGTCGGTCTGTCCCACTGCAGTTTTCCCCGTGGTTTCTCCTTAGTTCGACTGTGCTTCCAGATCCTCCCAGATCAGAGCCTTGTTCTGTTGCCGAGCACCCAGTGGCCCCAGGCACATGGACATGCGTGTGGTTGTAGCCTCAAGCATGGTCACCGGCTCCTGGGACAGCTATGCGTCATTTTCACAGCCAGTGAAAGGCATGTGTGTAGCTTAGAAATGAGAAGAAGTGTAAAACCAGACACTTTGTTTTATGGGTTTTTATCTTTTTAGAGAAAAGAAGGACGGTGTGGCACAACCACACCAGGCCTGCCAGACTCTTGTCACCTCTACCGTCCCCTTAGAAAGCAGACTTTGCACAGATTTGGGGTGGATCTCCTTGTGCCCTTGGGTGTTCTGTCTCTGACCTTGATCTTTGCCAAAATGTGTGTATACAGAACCACTTCTGTGTATTTCACCGTGCACCAGTCTTAGCAGCTGTCTAGTTTGGATCCAGTTAGAAACCTTTTCTGTGGAAAGCTCAGTAATTCTTATTAAGAGATTGCTATTGTTCATGTAAAACATGAGAAAAAAATCAAGTAAAGCTGAGTGTGGACTGGGGGTTCCTCAGCACTGTGCTTGTGTGAGGGGCTCATGGCAGGAAGTCCAGTTCTGTCCCACATCCTTCCCTTCAGCCCCAATAACCGCTGACAACCTCTCCAGCAAGTGCCTCTGCCAGCCGAGGGCCAGCTCGAGGTTAGCCACCTGGCCCTTCTGAAAGCACCATGTTTCAGAGTTGGGAGAAACTGTTTGGCATTGGTGGGAGAAGAAATTTGATTGGAGCAGCAGCCTTTCGATGTGGGAGTCCCTGGTATACTTTGTATCGGACCTTTACTGGTGTACCAAGTCCCAAACTCTGCTGCCTAGGGGGTGTGTGCTTGCCAGACAAAATTTAAACTATAGATCTTCTGGAAAGTTTATGTACTTTCCTGGAGGTCACTTGTGAAAAGATCAAGAAATCAGGATAGTCATGCACTTAATACTCAAACTTAATACAAATTTCATGTTAGTGGCACGAAGCAGGGCTCTATTTAAAACTATTTGTGGCCTCTGTGTGCTAATCCTGGTTAAAGAGAAAGCTTTATGATGCTGTTTATTCAACACATTAAGCAGCTGTAGAACAGACCTTTATCCGTGATAGGCAGAGCACTTCAGGATTTGCATAGAGACTCATGGTTTGGACGCGGTGTTTCCTATGAAAGCCTCTCACGTTGCTTGTAAAGCTAATCTAATTAAAAAGATGTATAAATGTTCTTGAAAAAACTTAACTGTTGTCACCTCCAGCTTTCTTCTGTTTGCAGCCCATTACCATCTGTTGGCTTTCATCATGGGCCCCTGGGTCAGTTACTTATTGCCATGCATCTTTGCTCTAGTCCACAGCATGCAGCAATTACCTTCTGTAAGTAACGGAGAACAGCCAGGAGAGATGCTCCAGGTGTGGAGACATCGCTGCGTGGTTAGTGAGCTGCCTGCATTCTCACTATCAGAGGTCTTTTCTCGGTAGGCTTTCAAGTTGCTTTGAACACCATAGCTGTTGGATGTGTCTTCTTTGCACCCTTGTGCTGCTGAAGGAGGAGTGTGGTACGCACCTGCAGGGCCGCTGGAATGCAGCTCGACACACATGATCCTTTGATTTGTGGTCACATGCAGAGGCACCAGTTCTTAGGCCAGAGTCATAGGATGTACTGTAGCTCTAAGAATTTAGAGTGGTGCCAGGTATAGTGGCACACACCTTTAATCCTAGCACTTGAGAGGCAGGAGGATCTCTATGAATCTGAGGCCTACCTGGCTCGCCAGGACTCCATAGTAAGATCCTGTCTCCAAACACAAAACCCCAAACAACCAACAGAGTGTGGTATTCAATGTTTTGGCTCCTCAGGGCATTTGGAAAACTGGACTAAATGTGCAGTGGGGTGGGTCAGAGGATGAGTGTGTTAGAAACGAAGACTGAGTGTGGCATGTAATAAAACAGAATTAACGGTCTCCTTAGTTTTGATTTAACCTTCTGAGCCTTTTCTTTAGTTTTGAGACGGGGTCTTGCTGTTGTCCAGGCTGGCCTCGAACAGCAGTCCTGCTCAGCCTCCCTAGTGCTGTGCTTCAGTTCTAAGGCATCATCCCTGCCTGGGATAGCTTTTTAATCCTCTGCATGCCTTCACTTCCACCTGGGTCCTGTAGCTAGAAACCTGAGCCTGCCTGGGCTCGTGGCTCTTTCTGTCCACCTGGCTCCTTGGATTCATCTATTCAGTGTTCGGTTTCCTGTTTCCCAAACTCCATGTAACAACTCCTGATACCCAAAATGTGGGGAGAATAGATGCTCTCTGGCCCACAACTCAGCTCAGTACAGGAACCCCCACTGGAAACCTTAGATTCTGAAAGTATTGTTCTGCTGTGTGGATCCTGGGAAGCCCCACCACTGGTTCTTTATGCTACTGGGCCTGTCCAAGTCTCTGGAATGTTCTCATCCCTGGTCTCTACAGTTTCATGGCTTGCTTGCATTAGCCTGTGGCTTTTCTCAGCCCTGGTGAAATCACACCCCACCACCTGGGGGCATTCTCTGCTTTCTTCCTGGTGCTCCTATTACACAGTGGGAACAGGGCAGCACATATTTAATTCTGTCATGTTCTCTTCTGGGAAACAACTTTACTTCACCTCTGAAGGGGATCAATCAGCCAGAGGCCCCACCGTGTTTGCAAGGCAAGGAAAACCAAGCCTTTCCAAAGGAAAGAATAGAAGTTGAGACTTGGCTGCAGTCGGTGAAAAGTCTTAACTGTAAAGCATAAGAAGCCTAAATGCACTCAAATGAGCATTTTCTTGACCAAAAGTTACCATGTGAAGCTAGAGAGCCATGTCCGGCACTGTGGTACACTCCTGCAGTTACAGCTACAAAGGGAGCCCAACTCAGGAGTCCAGGCGACTGGGTTCACACGGTGGAGTCCTGACTCTCAGAACTTAACAACCTAAAAGGAAAGGCAGGCAGGGGAAATAGTCATCCCTTCAGGGAACAGAAACGAGAAGACTGAAAAGCGTTGTCTTAAGTTAAATCCAAGGGCTAAGGGCCAGTGAGATGGCCGCTAACACTGCCAAGTCTGACCCGAGTTCCCTTCCTGAAACCCATGTGGTAGGAGAGAAGTGACTCCTGCAAGTTTCTCCCTGACCAACACACATGCTGTGGCATGAACAAGTTCTCCCCAAGAAAATTTAAAAAGGGAGAGGGAGCTATAAGATGCCCAAGGAAGGATGGATTCAATGAAAACACAGTGCAGTAGAAATGCAGCCCTAGAAGTGTTCGAAAGCAGAGCACACACATCTGTGCTCTGAGCTCATGGTGCTCGTGGTCCCAGCAGTATCAGAATGCACGGCTTCTTCTCTATCGTGTGGAGAAGCCAACCCTCCATCTTCTACTTCTGGTCCCATGGAGCAGCTATGGAAATACTCAAGTCATTGTGGGTCCAGGTTATTTTATATAAAGGAAACTAGATACTTGTTTTTTTGAGACAGACTCTCTGAGACCAAACTGTTCAGTCTTCCAGCCTTACTGATTGCTGGGATTACATTCTTGGCCTTATGTTTGTATAAGCATACAAATGTGTATTTATGAATTTAGTTTTTGAGACACAGTTTCACTATGTAGCTCTGGCTGGTTTGGAATTCAGAGATCCATTTGCTTCTGCCTCTGCATGCTGGGATTAAAGATGTGTACCACCATACCCAGCTGTTGAATTATTTTAATATAGTATGCACACATAAAAGAAATCTATCTTAAATCTTTGACAGCTTACTCTCAAAGTTGTCCACTGAGCATGCATGCATGCATACACACACACACACCACACACACAAAATATATATTAAAAAAATTGAGGGGTGGGATCAGTAGAGATTAAGAATTAAAGAAGTTTCCAAGGCTTCAAGTAGCCAGCTTTGAAAGGAATTTCAACTAAACGTCCTGCGTGTATTACTTACAGCAAGCAGGTGGTGTTGCTACTGGAAGACGGAGAACCAAGATAGCAAATGTGGGATCTGATTCCTCTGTGTGCTCCGCACCCTGGTTTACATATGAGATGACATCCCTACACCTCTGATGTCTGCTCTGTAGAGTGCACCATTCAGGAGGATGTACTTGTTGTAAACAGCTTCCCAGCTGGTCTTCGCTTTTACTCTACCATTTTACTGACCATGGCCATCTTTAGTCTATGGAGATTATGAGCCAAACTGAGTGTGGTCTAATACTCTGAATCAAGGAAAGGGGAGGAAAAAACCTCAACTCAGTAACCAAGATGAGAACACCAGGGCTGTGGTGGTGCATGGCCAGGGTAGCCTGCCTAGGTAATCTTAAGAGACCATGTCAGGACTGGGGATATAGTTCAGTGGTAGAACACTTAACCAGGTACATATAAGGAGCCAGGTTACATCCTCAGCATCACAAAAATCAAATCAGAAAGACATCAATCGCTTTACGTCAAAACATTCATTTATTTTTAAATTCTCTAAATCTTTGAAAAAAATACAACCTTAGAGCTTTGGAACAATGGGAGAAGATGAGGTTTCAGTTAGTGTTTTCCCATTTACCTCTGATCCCAGTTAAGATCTGAGTATGTGCACAGTGTGTGTGCACAGTTGGCCAAAGCCAACTAAAGGTTTCTCATGTTGCTTTGTTAACCAGCATGGCACTGGGGTGTAAAGACAAGTTTCTATAGAAACAGAACCTATGGCTGTGGCCCTACAGTGGGGAGCTGAACCAACTTTAGCTCCACTGTGAGGTTAGAAATTTGCTTCCAAAGAATACTAACAAAATGGAGCACGTTTCACTGATAAATAAATGTAAATATAAATGACAGATACAGGGATAACTATTCTTAGGGGCAAGTTTTCTCTAACAAGTATGGGCTCACTAAATTTCCACTTTCTCTCCAGCATTTCAGAACCTGATGTTGCCTCCCAACTGCACCTAGGTACTTTCTGCACCTAGCTCATCCTCTTTCCCTCCTGCCCTGTATCAACTGGCACTGCACAGAGGACTGGAGAACACGGCAGCCGTATCCCACCCTTATGCTGGCTAGGCCTGTCTATCTGCACTCTTCCTCCTGCATCTCACACAGGATGTGCCCAGATACCTCCCTGCCTACTGAGGCCCTTCCCATTTAACAAGCTAACTCAATTCACTAAAAAACAGTGCCAGGGTGGAACCCTGTCCCAGCACTATTATAGGGCCCTGAGATTAATCTACATCTTTCCCCTTCCGAGGATGTAGCTCCTGAAAGGCATGAACTACCACTTACTTCATAGCCCTAGAACTTCATGCAGTTTGGCTCAGAAAATATTTAATTGCTTATAACCTGTTAAATTGATAAAAATATGGCATATATTCAAACACAAAACTTTAATAGCCATTTATATAAAAACATTTAATACTATTGAACTTCATGCTTTAAGAAATATCAAAACTTGTTTTCCAACCTGACAGACTAAAGATCCTGTCAAGAATGCTGAAAAGTTGACACTTGTACACTGCTGAAGGAGGGAATTCAGAGTTTGATGGAGCTGAACACAGAGACGCCCTGAGACCAGTTCCACTCCCGAGTGGGTGTGTCAGCATTACTTAGCCCTGCACTGGGATACTTCCAATGGTTCACCAATGGGGTGAGGGGGAAACTTCGGGTATCTTTAAATTCTACAGAGGAATGAAAATGAACGTTTACACACAGTAACAAAGACACTACCTTCACACTCTCTGGTAAACTGTGACCTTTGGGGATGGAGAAGGTAGGCACTCTAAAGAGACAACTACAACAGGACTCCCCCAGCCCCTCTTGGGGAGGTAATGGGGGAAGTTACACAGTGGAACACCAGGCAAACCAGGTTCACCCAGATGCTCACAAAATTTGTGCACCTTACAATGTATAAATGACCTTGCAGCAACGTCAGCCAGGTGGAGGGACAGCCATAAGACAAACTGAGCCAAGTATCTGTGTCCCTCTGCTGAACATGGAAAGATGAAGCAAGAACTTCCCAGTGCTCGGATAATAGTGCTTTTGTTTCTCACATGGCACAGAGTTCACAGTGCTGCTTCTGTACATCTTTCTGCTCTCCAGGGAAGTGGGCAGCTTTGTGAGATGTTAATATATCAGTTACTTTTTAGCACCAAGTTTTAACGATTCACTTAAGTCCCCATCAAATCTGGCCTGCAGAACTGAGTAACCGCTGTAACATTCCAAAACTGTACTATATATTCTGTATCTACTTTACTCTAAAATCTGCTGCCACCTTTTGACACATATAGATGGGACAGAGGTAAAAATGTTTTGTTTTGTTTTGTAGACATGGTCTCACTATAGCCGAGGCTGGAACGTAAGCCCAAGCTGGCTTTAAACCCCACAGCCATCTTCCTGCCTCAGCCTCCCAAGTGCTGGGATTTTAAGCATGAGCTGTAAGGAGTTAGAAAATTCTTTTAAATACAGGAGGGTCTTTAAAATCTGCTGCCACTTTTTAGTAAAGGTGGGACAGATTATATTTTATATATATATATATATTTTTTATACTGAAAATATAGAAGTCTTTAAAATTCGCTACCACCTTTATGTAGAAAGTAAATTCTTTTAAAATACAGAAAGCTTATTTACTGCTACGATTCTGAGAAAAAAAAAAGAAAAAAAGACCTCTGAGTACTTTTAGAACAACTACTATGTTTCATACAGTCTGGACAAAGAATCTGATGTCAAAGATTAACATCAGCTCAAAGAATGAACCTTAATATTAAAAGTATTTGACTGTCGGGACTCCTGATAAGACTATCTTAAGACTATACAAATAAAAATACTCTAAAACCTTCAAAAACAAGGGAGAACAAAAGTACCTAAAATCATACATTTCTACAGGAAAAACTGAGCCAAAGTCCTGGTAAGGCACGGGTGAACACAGCACCTTGACACACAGGATGACAGCAACTCCCTACATTACCCAGGGTCATGGGCTCAAGCGATGATCTGCCTCAGCTTCCTGAGTACCTGGAACTATAGGGTCGGAGCATCACACCTGGATGGAGAGGCAGACTCAACTGCTCACTATGTGTATGTAAAACAGAACACTGTTGGTGTAATAAGCCTGGCTGTAACCCACAGTTCCTTCACCTGGAGGGCAACACCACCATAAGCCAACATGTGGTGTGGGACCCACTCCATTTCAGACTCTTCGAGGTCGGAGATTGGTTTTGTTACCTTCCAGGCAGCGGTCCAAGTGCTCATTGATGTGTGACTCCAAAACTACACTCTGACAAACTGGACAGTTGACCAGCCGTCGCTGACTGCATGAGCTGCTTGAATTCTGAACTGTGCTGGTGGCTGTGGGCCGTGAGCTATTCTGAAGATCACCACCATCACTCTGTGTTTGCTCCTTGTTGATACTATCCAAAGCAATCCTGTCCTCCAACCTGGGTCGCTTATTTGGGAACTGGTCTTCAGACCCACTCTCCTCTTGGGATATGGATGAGGATGTCACAGTTGCAGATGCCATGACTTTGGAGGCATTTCTCAGGGACGCTCTGGAAGGTGGAACCTTTCTCTGAGAATCGGATGAGGCTGAATGCTTAGTGCCATCCTCAATTGTCCCACTCTTTACTGGGGATCCATTCACATTTCTGAAAGCCTTTTGGTTGGCAACAGAGACTCTGGGGAAATAGCTGCTCAGGACACTTTGGTGACTAGCAGTGGGAACAGGGGAGACCAGATGAGTTTTTTTACTTGGGAAACCATTCTGTTCACATTTCACCTCAATGTTGGAATTGAGTCTCAAGGCACTTGCTGAATGATCTTGACTTGAGAGACCTTTGGCTTCATTAACCATGTATGAGGTGTTCAACTTCCCAGGTGAAGAACAAGTACTCGTATCTCCAAGAACATACCCTTTTCCACTGAATGGAATGAGTGGCTGGGTCTCCCCTCTGGACGGCTTGTCTGCAAAGGAAACAGAAGAGTCTTCCTCAAAACACTGCCACGGTGATAAACACTGAGCAAATGGTGGTTATCTAAAATGAAGGATTACTTCCTTCTAACTCAGATTCTGTGCAGTAGTCACCTATTGACAAGAGAAGGCAACCTTCAGTAGTCAGAGCCCCGTACTGCAAGAACAGGAAGAGGAAGAAAGTGCAGAGAGAAGAATCTAAGGCATTTCCCACAAAGAGCTTGGATTCCTCTAACCTGCTCTCCTTACCTGGCTCCCCAGATTCAGTCCCTCTGCACCAATTCTCTAGTCCCTTGACTTCTCAGCACTTCAGATGAGGAACTACAGCTGGGCTCCTGAGGCCTACCCCACCAACTGACAACCTTGCAAGGGGAAGCATGAACTTCAGGAACCACTGCCGCCTCCTCAGAGCTCCTGAGGACAGGAGCAGTTCCTAAGGATGACACAGGGACAAATGCAGGCCAAACTCCTTTCCTATGCTCCTGAGACAGCAGAGGTAACAGACAGGAAGGGCTGGCTTGGTCAGGACTCACACTCTGGGTGCTCTTCAGTTACCGTTTTCACTGACTCCCTCAGATACTGCAAATGGAGACCAGTTCACCTTCCCTCACTTCCACAGTGAAGCACGTTCCCACCATCACTTTGTGGTTTTATACCTGAAAAGAACAGTCCTGCACAAACCTTAACCCAGTTCCCCAACAGGCAGCACTGTCCATGCACTAGCCAGGGTCACAGAGATGGGAGATGAAATGGAGCTGTACCTTTAGTCTCCACTGCTGAGGCTGGCTGCTTGCCTGGTTTTGTCTTTCCTCTGCCTTTCTTTGAATAGTTCTCTGGCTCCTTGATTTTTATGTAGGTGCCTCCACAAGTTTTCTGGTGGTCAGCCCACCAGTAGTCATGGGCAGACGGTGCCCTGTTGGTTGCTCGCTTCACATAGCCATAGTAGGGCTGTTTGTGCTGGCAGGGCCCATTGCAGCGCCACCAGTGCCGACGGTACTCATCCACCTCGTCATGGAAAGTGTGGTAGACCTGGGCAGGGAAGGGTCCAGCAGTTAAGACACACGTTAGCCATGCTACAGAGATATTTTACCCAAGGAGTCTTTGTTTGCTTTTTAAATATTCCACTTCTCAGATATTTCTAAAAAGTTCTATTTTGGGAAAGACAGCTACTATATTTAGTTTATTTTCAAAAGTTCACTTTAAAGGGACACATGAGGTAATTTAAAACTTCCTAATGTATAAGATAGCAGCATACAAGACAAAAGGTTTTGGTGTGTGTGGGGAAACACAACCATCAAACACCTCTATGAATACTAACTGTTTCAGCAATTGAGCAACATGATCAAAAGCTAGGACTGAACAGTGGTTTACTATAGCACTGTAATAAGCCTCTAACAAGGAGAAAGGGTTGAGACCCAACTGGGAGGAATCTGTCTCTCAGAAGAAAGCATACAGATTTCTTTAAGTGTAAATTCCTAGAAACAATATAAACTGCTAAAGGGCTGAACAACAGCCAGATCCTTCCTATAGGAAACTGAAAACTCCCACAGTCTACAATATAATATTTAACTAGTGCTCAAGTTGTGCTAATACACTGCATGTCCTTGCTCTCAAGCTATCAAAAAGCAGGCACTGTTGTCACATCATTTGCATGGCAACAGATAGTTCCAGAAGAGTTCAGTGGTACAAGCAGGATCACTAGTGTAGGGAGGGCACACCTCAGCCTTGACTGTGGTATCTCCTCCAATACTACACTGTCAGGACTCAAAGAACCGCTGATGAGGGACTGTCACAGATGTAGGAGAAGCTCCTCCTGAAGGTCTAGAAAAGTATAATGCAGGAAGGACCAAGGAAGCATGCCTCAAATGCTGATCTGGAGTTGCTGGAGGCCTCAAGGAAGAGGACTGCTGGCTCTGTAGCCATTCTACCCCGAGAGCCTAGACAAGTCCATTCATTTCTGTAGGAGTCTTGTTCAAGGCTGAAAATCTTCATTTCACTGAATGAATATAAGTATTATAACTGTGAATGGCTGCTGGGCTTGGTGGCACAAACCTACAATCCCAGTACTTAGGAGGCTGAGTTAGAATTGTGAGTTTGAGGCCAGTCTGGTTTACTGGTTCCCCCTGTTCCCCAAACATGTGTAGCTCAGAATACCGTTATGTTGGCTCCTGTCAGTTGGTTGATTCGATGCATATGTTTGCAGAACTCTGGGCCATGTCCTTCCCGGTCTTTATCATTATTAGTGACAAATAAGTAGGCATGGATCATTTCATGCAAAAGAGTCTGAAACAGAAAACCAGCAAATTAATTTTCTAGGGCATGTCTGAAGAAGAAAAAGCATTCTCTTTCTTAACTTGGAGTCTTAGCTCTCTGTAGGCCCAAATACACAAAACTTTACATATAATATTCCAAACTCTGCAGATCCCAGTAAACAATTCAAGGAATAACATTTGCTCAAAAAGGCCTATTTATCTACCAACTCAAAACCCTAAAGGTTGGTGAATCCAACCACATAAAAACTTTAAAATTCTGATGGAGAAACCCACAGTACGTCAAGTCAAAAGATGATTCCGACAACTCTGCAGCACATATCACGGGCTCTGAGTTTTGAACATAAGGAACTCCTGATGGCAACATAGAAAGAGCAAACAGCCCAGGTCTAAATGGGCACAAAGCTAAGTATATGTTGGGCAAAAATGATGCATACCTGTGATCCCGAACTCAAGGTTGGAGGTAGAAGGATCAGGAGTTTGATACCAGCTTGGCAGCATCAGACTCTGCCTCCCTCACCATCACCCTCCTAAAAAATAGCTGGGTACATGCATGCCAGCTCACTGAGGAGGCTGTAGCAAGAGAAGCCTATAAGACCAGGGCCAACTTGGGTAACAGAGACTGTCTCTTAAAAAGCAACAAGATATCCTGGCCAGGAATGGTAGTGCACAGCTGTCCCTCAGAACTGAGGCAAGGGGATCTTGAGGTTGAAACCAGCCTGGGCTACTATCAAGATCTTGTCTTAAAAGAAGAAAACAAAAAAAAAAAAAAAAAAAAAAAAAAAAAAAGAAAGAAAGGAAAATTCCCACAAACCACTGGGCTGAGAACCAGGTTTATACAAAGAATACCTCTACAAGGTCCTTTCTTGGTCTCAGTTTTAGAAGGGGCTCACTGAGACGGATGGAACACATTCCTCCTCTTCCTTCATAGGTGCAAATCCCAGCACACCTGGAAAACAATCACAACGACGGATTAGGTTCACCAAATCCATTGATTTGGAGAGTCAGAGACCGACCAACCAAAAAGTAAACCCTAGCCAGGTGTGGTGGTGCATGCCTTTAATCCCAGCACTATGGGAGGCAGAGGCCGGCAGATCTCTTGAGTTCCAGGCCAGCCTGGTCTACACAGTGAGTTCCAGGACAGCCAGGGGTACATAGTGAGGCCCTGTCTCAAAAACAAACAAAACAAAAGCAAATCCTTACCGGTTTGTGTGCAGTTCACAGGAAAAAGTCCCTGGTGGCAGATGGCTTTCCTGAGTGGAACACTTGGCTGCAGGCAGTAACACTTGCTCACCCTCACCCACTCTGTCACCCACTCGGCTCCACACAGGCATTCATTTGCGGGGAATGGTTTAGCCACCACGTCTGCAGGGGCACTTCGCCAAAAGTGTCATAGGGTTGGTGTGAAGTTAGATGTACACTACATCTTACCCTGCTTTACTGCAGGCTGCTTTCTATGTGATTGTGTATTGAAGGGCAGATTACTATCTCGAATGGGACTTCTCAAATTCAATGGGTAAAAAAGGATCATCACTGGCACATCCCTGAGGGCCGTTAGGCCCGGCCCACTCGGGTGGAGGCACGTCTCCCAGTGACCTCTCCCTCCACCGCGAGGCGGGGACACCAACGACAACTCAGCGGCCTCGCCCTTCCCCACGTTCCGAGCCGTTCGTGGGCGCACTCACAGTGTCATGCGCACACTCCACTTCACTTCCACCGCCTCCAGCTGACCCCAAAAGAAGCGGTCGTTAAACTGCAAGAAGAGCGCCTGCAGGTCCGGGGTGGGGTCCACCAGCTCCCAGGACGAATCCACCAACGACACGGGCTCCCGCGCCGCCGCGCGCACGTCCCACTCCTCCTGCAGCCGCAGGGCAACCACCAGATCCTCGTCCATCGCGCCACTCCCGCCCAGGCTACTCCAAAGACGCCGGTCGTGCTCGCGCAGCGCACGGGTCTCGCGAGACCTCCGGGCCCGGCTGTCAGGTGCTCGCGGGCTCGCCTCGAACGCCTAACCGAAAGTGGCTCGGAGCCGCCCCGCGGGCACAGGCTTAGGAACGCGGGGCTCGGGCTAGGGACGGCTCCAGGAAGCTGGCAGCCTCCTGAACGCCCCTGAAGTCCTGAGACTCACGTCAAGTCTGGTCCGCGCCTGAGCCTGCTCTGACTTCCGTACTGGCTCGTCCGCGCACGCGCCTTAAGTCACTGCCGTTCTCGCGCAGGCGCGCCGTCGGCACCCCGCCCCCCAGGCGCAGGCGCAGTATGGGAGTCTCGACTCCAGCACAGGCGCAATGCAGCGCTCGGCCCCGGCGCAGGCGTTTGGGTGTTGCTCCCGCCCCGCTTCCTCTGCCGTCTTCTCCACCGGGCTCGGGTGGGGCCCAAAGGCGGCGAGTGACAGCGACTCCGGACCGCGGGCGCAGGGCGGGTGGCAGCCATGTCGGACAGCGGGGCGAGCCGCCTGCGGAGGCAGCTGGAGTCGGGGGGCTTCGAGGCGCGGCTGTACGTGAAGCAACTGTCGCAGCAGTCGGACGGCGACCGCGACCTGCAGGAACACCGGCAGCGCGTGCAGGCGCTGGCGGAGGAGACGGCGCAGAACCTGAAGCGCAACGTCTACCAAAACTACCGGCAGTTCATCGAGACGGCGCGCGAGATCTCGTACCTGGAGAGCGAGATGTATCAGCTGAGCCACCTGCTGACGGAGCAGAAGAGCAGTCTGGAGAGCATCCCGCTGGCACTGCTGCCCACCGCCGCCGCGGGCGCCTCCACGGGTGAAGACACGACGGGCGCGGGGCCGCGGGAGCGCGGGGCGGCGCAGGCAGGCTTCCTGCCCGGGCCGGCGGGCGTCCCCCGCGAGGGCCCTGGTGCGGGGGAGGAGGGCAAGCAACGCACACTCACCACACTGCTGGAGAAAGTGGAGGGCTGCAGGGACCTGCTGGAGACGCCAGGCCAGTACCTGGTGTACAACGGGGATCTGGTGGAATACGAGGCGGATCACATGGCCCAGCTGCAGCGCGTGCACGGCTTCCTCATGAACGATTGTCTGCTGGTGGCTACCTGGCTGCCACAACGGCGAGGCATGTACCGCTATAACGCGCTTTACCCACTGGACCGCCTGGCTGTGGTCAACGTCAAGGACAATCCACCTATGAAAGACATGTTCAAGCTGCTCATGTTCCCTGAGAGCCGCATCTTTCAGGCAGAAAATGCCAAGATTAAACGTGAGTGGCTGGAAGTGTTGGAGGAAACCAAGAGGGCGCTCAGCGACAAGAGGAGGAGGGAGCAGGAGGAAGCAGCGGCCCCCCGCGCGCCACCACCAGTCACTTCCAAAGGCAGCAACCCGTTTGAGGACGAGGATGATGAAGAACTGGCCACCCCCGAGGTGGAGGAGGAAAAGGTAGACCTCTCCATGGAGTGGATCCAGGAGTTGCCCGAAGACCTGGATGTCTGTATTGCGCAGAGGGACTTTGAGGGCGCTGTGGACTTGCTGGACAAATTGAATCACTACCTGGAAGATAAGCCCAGCCCACCTCCTGTGAAAGAGCTGAGGGCCAAAGTGGATGAACGAGTGCGACAACTCACTGAGGTGCTGGTGTTTGAGCTCTCCCCGGATCGTTCTCTGAGAGGTGGCCCTAAGGCTACGCGCAGGGCAGTGTCTCAGCTGATCCGGCTGGGCCAATGCACTAAAGCTTGTGAGCTGTTTCTGAGGAACAGGGCAGCAGCCGTGCACACTGCCATCCGCCAGCTTCGAATTGAGGGCGCCACTCTGCTCTACATTCACAAGCTGTGCCACGTCTTCTTTACCAGCCTCCTGGAGACCGCAAGGGAATTTGAGACAGACTTTGCAGGCACCGACAGTGGCTGCTACTCTGCGTTTGTGGTTTGGGCACGATCTGCAATGGGCATGTTTGTGGACGCTTTCAGCAAGCAAGTTTTTGACAGCAAGGAGAGCCTGTCCACTGCAGCTGAGTGTGTGAAAGTGGCCAAGGAGCATTGCCAGCAGCTGGGAGAGATTGGGCTGGATCTCACCTTCATCATCCACGCCCTGCTGGTGAAGGACATCCAGGGGGCCTTGCACAGTTACAAGGAGATTATCATCGAAGCCACCAAGCACCGAAACTCGGAGGAGATGTGGCGTCGAATGAACCTGATGACTCCTGAGGCCCTAGGAAAGCTCAAAGAGGAGATGAGAAGTTGTGGGGTCAGTAACTTTGAGCAGTACACGGGAGATGACTGCTGGGTGAACTTGAGCTACACAGTGGTAGCTTTCACCAAGCAGACCATGGGCTTCCTGGAGGAGGCGTTGAAACTGTACTTCCCAGAGCTACACATGGTGCTCCTGGAGAGTCTGGTGGAAGTCATCCTGGTTGCCGTGCAGCATGTGGACTACAGCCTGCGGTGTGAGCAGGACCCAGAGAAGAAGGCATTCATCAGGCAGAATGCATCCTTTCTTTATGAAACTGTCCTCCCAGTGGTGGAGAGGAGGTTTGAGGAAGGTGTGGGGAAGCCTGCCAAGCAGCTGCAGGACCTGCGGAATGCATCTAGACTCCTGCGGGTGAATCCCGAGAGCACCACTTCTGTGGTCTGAGGCCCTGGTCTGCTGTGTGTCTGTGTGTGTGTGTACATGTGCTACAGATGCATTATTTGTATTTACATTACACTTGTCAGCACATTCCTCAGAGTCACAAACAGTATATAGATGGTGTCCTCTTAGAAATACAGTGAAAGGAGAAAGAAAATGTGTTAAGTCCCACCTCCCCCAGATTGGAATTATTAGAGCATATACCATGCTTTTATATTAACTCCTAAAGGAATGTATGAAATAAATAGTCACACCATGGCATTTCAGATTACCCTCTGACTTGATACACACTTCTCACAGTAGGACATCCAGGAACATTGCACTTCTATGCTACCTAGAAAAATATGTAAATCCATAGGGCTGTACATGTTACAAAGCCTCCCAATTCAGCAAAATTGTAGTTTCTTGATGGTCAGTGTGCTGGCTTTATGTACTCCTTAAACTAACCAATTTAGAGAAAATAAATGAGTTGGGAAAATTGGTTTGGGGTAAATTTGAATAAGTGGGCACCAGATTTTTCAGTCTTTGTAGTACATGGAAGGAAGCCTTCATAAAACAACTCTGCAGGCATCCAAGTCACTGAAAGGTAGCATGTTCCATGGCTATTTGGCATCATATTATTTCACTGGGGTGCATCTTTTTGGGAATCACAAGGACTACGGTGACTTTTAACATATTCCAGAACTGAATGAATTTGCTGTTACAACACCTTTTGCCATGTTCAGGAAGTGAAAGTCACGGTGAAAGGCCCACACCAAGGAGCCTAGCAGTAGTCGAGTGTCTCTGGGCCCCTGCAGACACCTCACCACCAGCCTGATTCAGGAGCCACTGAGACTTAGGGCAAATGCAGAGCTCCTTATTTGAATATTTACTGGGAGTTCAGGGTCTCTGTAGATTAGGAATTAGAGAAAGAATGCAAATCTCACAGCTTAAGAATGCCTGCTTTGAGCAAAGAATTGTTTTCTTGAGAGAGGTTTCAGCCCAGGATGGCGCCTTGAGCTGGTTTGTAGCCAAGGAAGACCTTGAATTTCTAAATCTCCTAACTCCACTTCCCAAGGGCTGGGATTACAGGGGTGTGCCCCCTTGCCCAGTTTATGCTTTGTTGGGAAACCCAGGGCTTTGTGTATACTAGGCAAGCACTCTACCCACTGAGCCACATCCTCTGCCCTGATGGGTTTTTAGTCTTTTTTTCTTTTTGTAACTTTGAGGGGAGATGAATATGCCTCAAGCACAGGGAAGGGGCCTTTTGTGACTCCTCAAATGCTGTGTTGCACTTTAAAACACAAGAGCCAGGGATGCTGGTGCCCACTTGTAGTCACTGCACTGGGAGCAAGAGGCAGTGTATCCAAGGCCAGCCTGGTCAGCAGGGGAACTCCAGGACAGCCAGGGCTCTGTAGAGAGACGCCTCAAAAACAACCAACAACTTCTAAGAGAATTCCAGGTCATAATGCTTATTTCAGATTGTTCAGTAAAGGACACAGTAGGTGGTTGGGAAACTAAGGTTTATAAAATGCTTGGCTCTATACTGGTTATTTAATGTTCCTCTATTAGAGAGTGGGTTTTTTGTGTGTTTTTTTGTTTTTTGGTTTTTTTTTTTTGTGTGTGTGTGTGTGTGTGTGTTTTTTGTTTTTTGTTTTTTTTTGGTTTTCGAGACAGGGTTTCTCTGTGTAGCTTTGGAGCCTGTCTTGGGTCTCGCTCTGTAGCCCAGGCTGGCTTTGAACTCACAGAGATCCGCCTGCTTCTGCCTCCCGAGTGCTGGGATTAAAGGCATGCGCCACCACCACCTGGCTAGAGAGTGTTTTTGAAGACCCATTTTCCCACTAGCTTCTAGCTGTGGTTTTTGTCCATGATGCCATGTTATTATACCATTGATTCTAAGTGTTATTCCTTGTCTGAATAAAAAAGGTAGCATTATGTAAAACCTTAAATGGTTTCTGCAGTGATTTAGGGTTATAAAACTCCTTGGCTTAGTTAACTCATTTCAGACCAATGTTTTCTTTACTTTTTTTTCTTCTTCTTCTTTTTTTTTTTTTTTTTAGCTCTACATACTTAAAAAGTTGGAAATCACCATTGCAGATTTTTACTGACTTTTTTTCATGTTAGGATTTTTTTTTAAAAAAATGACGGGTATTTTCTATATAGCCCTGGCTATCTTGGAACTCTCAATGTAGACCAGGCTGGCCTTGAACTCACAGAGATCTTCCTGCCTCTGCCTCCAAAGTGCCAGGATTAAAGGATTGTGCCAATATGCCAGGCTCTGTTAGGATTTTCTACATGACCATAACTGATGTTCCAGCCAAACAAAAATACTAATTTGTCTTAAGATCATTGGAAACTTGAATTTCATGGAATTGTGCTGGTTGTGATGATTATTTGGTACCTTTTGGAATTTAATATATGAAATGTTCTGTATGAATACAGTGTGGGGAATGGAAAGCTCTCTTAGGGCTTAGAGCTGTAAGAATGCCAATGTATTTCCCCACATAATAATAAATGGCTGTATCTTTATGGAAATGTAAATAAGAGAATTTTATTGTGCTAAGAATGGGCTAATGTGTCCCTCAGTGTAGCAGAGGGAATCTGGGACATCTGTGCAGGAAGCTGACTGGATCTACGTTGGGTGCCAGACACCTGGTATAATTCACTGCCCTCCTCAGATGGGGTCAGAGCTCTGACCCCATGTTTCATCAGACTCCAAGCAAGTTCGAAAGCTTGAAGGATCATCTGGTACAGTGATAGCTCCATTCGTATTGATACCCCACTTCAACATTAATTACCTTTTCTTGTTTGTTTCAAAACTAACGGCATAGACCAGGAACCACAGTGGGATTAATTATGGTTGAGAATTTGGTCTCTGATGAAAGCCTCCTGTCACTTAAGTGCTCAGTCATTTCTGTTTAAGATGCTGCCTGTCAATAGATTACCAGCACTTTCATCCTGCACCTTGCATCTTAGCTAGGATTGGAACCTGGGGCTTGCTGTAGACGATGAAAGCATTGCTGTATACTTTGATATGCTGTGAGATTAAGTCGTCTATACTGTCTGATAAAATAAAGCTTTACAGTGTTCTCACACTGGATAGAATTGCTACTATAACATTTTATATAATGTACTTATTTTGAGACAGGGTCTCACTCCAGCCATGACTGGCTTAGAACTGTCTATGGAGACCAGCCTGGCAGTGAACTCAGATTAAAAATAGGACAAAGTTAACAAAACCAGCTGTGTTCAGCAGAAACAATGTACTTTCAAATGTAGCAGTTTCTCACAGTGTGTGCTGTGGGCATGTCTGGAAGAGACCTGCTTGAAGGGATTGCAGAGCTTGGGAGAGGTGTATAAGAGAAAGCAGCAGGGTCCTCACCCTTGTGGAAAGCCCCAGCAGTCTCTGCCAGGTGACCCTGACAAACTGTGTGCACCCTCCCGCAGAATTCATACAGTCCCTTTCCTGCTTTATTCACTCAAGTATTTCAAAGCATCTTCTCACTGTTAGCTGTACTTCCCTGGGGTTTTTCTGTGATGGGGTAGTCTCCATAGTTAAATACTTCATGGTTTTTCATTTTCTGGTAACCTTGTTAGCTTCAGGGGCTTATGACTTGAAAATATTCCCAGCTGGATGTGATGGCACACATTTTTAATTCCAGCATTCAGGAGGCAGAAGGAAAAATCTCTGGCTAATCAGGGCTTACCCAGTGAGACCCTGCCTGAAAACAAAGCCAGGTGTGGTGGTACATTCCTTTAGTCCCAGCTATTGGGAGGCAGAGGCAGGCAGATCTGAGTTCGAGGCCAACCTGGTCTATATAGTGAATTCTAGGACAGCTAGGACTATGTAGAAAGACCCCTCTCTCTCTCTCTCTCTCTCTCTCTCTCTCTCTCTCTTTCTCACACACACACACACACACACACACAATAATGACGATGATGATGATTCCAGGGGAGATAGCTGAGTGGTTAAGAACACTTACTGCTCTTGAGGACAGAGGTTCAGTTTCCAGTACCCAAAATCATAACTCCAGCTTCAGAGAATGACACCCTCTTCTGGCCTCTTTGGGTATTGCGTGTTCATGCACATGCACATGTAAAACATTTCTAAAAACCTCCTGGAAAAGCTTACATATGGATAGCTGTGTGTGTATACATATATATGTATGCACCTTTCCTTATTTATGGGAATATATGTATATAATCTATAGGTGTTGCTGTGCCAAACTGTCCCCTTTTTGTTATGTACATTAACCCATATATTTTGAGCTGGAGATCTCCAATGGTAGTGCTTCTACTGGCCTTTCAGTTCCTCCTCAGTCCTCTGGTGGCAGACTTGACTGTGACAGATACGGCATCGTAGGTCTGAGTCCCTCCTGTCCCCGTTTTCATCAGGAACCATGAGGCCAAATGCCCAGTCTATCTCTTCTGCTTGGTCTTGCCACCAAAGGAGCAAGTGAATGTAGTATGCTGGCTGATTTCAATTTTCTTCACCATTTTCCCGGAGGTACCAGAGTGGGTCCTGTGGGTCCTGTATTTACCCATGATACCTTCTTGGTTCATTTGCTGTGATGTTGACCTAACCCCAGACAATTATCCTTTCCTAATTTAGATAAACACTGCCAAATTTGATAATCGGGAAAGTTGTGTATTCTCTCCAATAATACAGGAAAATTTGTTTCCAACAATCATAATTATTCATTTTGTGATAAAAGTAGCCTTATTGTAGTAAGATTTTTTTTTTTTTTTTTTTTTTTTTTTTTTTTTTTTTTTTTTTTTTTTTTTTAGGTTTTTCGAGACAGGGTTTCTCTGTGCAGCTTTGCGCCTTTCCTGGATCTCGCTCTCTAGACCAGGCTGGCCTCGAACTCACAAAGATCCGCCTGCCTCTGCCTCCCAAGTGCTGGGATTAAAGGCATGCGCCACCACCGCCCGGCGATTTTTTTTTTTTAAAGAGCAGGCTTGTCTTGAGTTCACAGAGCTCCCCTCCCCTCCACCTCATGAGTGTTGAGAGAAAGTGTGTTATCACAATGGGCTCCATTACTTTAAAAAAAAGTGAATGTGTGTCTCTGTAGTGACGTGAGAGGGTGTCAGATCTCCCAGGGCTGAAGTTGCAGGCATTGTGGGCCACCCAATATGGGTGGTAGGATCTGAACTCAGGTCCAATGGAAGAGCATCAAGTGCTCTTACCTCTGAACCATCTCTTCAGCCCCAGATTTATACACTTAGAATAATAATTTTTTGAGCTGAGGATAAGGCTCAGTACAGTGCTTGCCTAGCATGCACAAAGGCCTGAGTTCAATCCCCAGCACTGCAAAAACACTGCATAAACCAGCATGGTGGTGCATGCCTGTAATCTCAGTGCTGAGTCGTCAGGATCCCAAGTTCGTTCTCAGCGCCCTGGTGAGTTCAAGGCCAGCACGTGGCTGGTGAACAGCTCAGCTCACGGTCAGCAGAATGGTGTGCTGAGGTGTGGCAGGTGACAGTGGCTGACAGAGCTGTGACCTGCCCACTGGAGTCCACAGCCAGGATCACTGTTCAATTGTACTGCTCACTTCAACATGCAGGGATCCCCTCTAGCTTCCCAAAGCAGCAAAGGTCGCCAAATGGCCTGTTTGTCACTTGTGGGCCAGTGCAAAGGCTGTCCTAGGCCCTGGGATAGATGCACCACCTGGGGAATTTGGAGAGATAGGACCACACTGGGCTATTCAGTGACCTTCCTTGGGTCTTACTTTCAAATGCCTGTCCCTGATGATTGAACTATAACCCAGATTCATATACTGATGAGGGAGAGCCTCTCATGACAAGATAGTGATGATTTTGGGCTTTTCTTAAGAGTCCTTAAATTCACAATCCTGTTGGGAATCCAAGCATGTACTGCCATATCCAGCCTGCTTTCTGTGGGTAGACAAAGAGGTCCTGAGTCACACAGAGTCAGCAGCCATGTCCAAAACCAAGGTGAACCTACTGTGGACACACCTTGATCTTGGACTTCAGCTCTCAGAGCACAAGAAATTCACAGCTAGATGCATTCTGCAGGTCCTGCTTTCCACTCTGGCAGCCCCAAGGACCTATCTGAGCCCACATTTCTCTCTACACACACCCATAGACTTTTCCTCTATTACTCAGCCCCACCCCCTGTTATAGTTCCACCGATGCTGGGTCCTGGGTCACTTCCAGAGTGACTAACTTGAAGAGCTATCCCATCTTATTTAAACTCCTCTTCCCTCTACGTACATTCATGGCACATCATGTAAGCATCTCTTTGTTGTACACACTTAGTTCAATTTGTTAATAAAACCACTGGGTGTAAAATTTAAAGTAAACTAGATAATTTATTACACACTTCTGTCAAACTTGTACTTGTTTGAGGCAACTTAATTAAAGTAAAACTGTAAGATATAGGTTGAGTCCCTTATCCAAATGCTCCTGATGGAAGGAAGTGTGTTAGATTTAGAGCTGTTTGTTGTTCTTCAGTAAGAACAATTTATTGAATGCGCTGACAAAGAACAGTGAGCTGTGCTGCTTTTTAGGTTCTGGAAGATCTGCTGATCCCAAACAAAATGTCTTAGAGATCTAGACATGAACTTCCTTCATTTTATATGCACCACACACACACAGACCAAAGGTAACCATACGCAATATTCTTAGTGCACCTGTGTTTTGACTGGGACCCTCAGGAGCTCAGGAGAGGACTCTCTTGTCATGCTCAGGCTCCCAGCTTCAGGCTGTGGGCTGGGAACACTCACCTGTGTCCCCTCTTCAGTGTTTTCCTGCACCGGTGAGTGGTCAAAGCTGCTGCTATACTATCATTCATATGTCGGCCTGAAAGGGGAGCATGTGTGGGAAACTGAGTGGCAGTGAATGGGGCCTGAGCTCTGCTTTCCAAGAATGTTTTCCAAAAACTGTTTTATTTCAGAACACACAGGTTGACATGAATGCCGCAGTCGTCATGTCAGGAAGATCACACTGATGCTCTCACTGGTCATCTCCTCCTCTTGGCAGAAGCACGGCTCACAAGGTCTCAGGGAGATAGAAGACACATCCTCCTCTTGATGCCCATGGTGGCAAAGTAAGTCCTTTGTGACTGTCACTATGGAACTGCGCTTTCTACAGCTGCTTCATGATTGTTAAAGTTTTGCGGTGGCTGCTTTTCCTACTGGCGTCTTACAGCCTAAGACAAAGAGACAGCTAATGAAATAATGGTGGTCTTGCTTGTTGCCACAGCTCTGTAGTAAGGCTGTGGTTCACTCTGCAAGGCAAGCTGCAAACACTGAGACCTTCACTGATCACTTAGCTGGCTCCCCTGGATTCTACTGACCTTTCTTTACAAAGCCAGTGGCTACCTTTTCTAGATGTTCCTCTTTCTCAGCCTACAGCATCCAGAGGGCTCTTAGCTCCATCATGTACTAGAGAGTGTATTCACCCAGAGTATCTAAGACCTCCGAGGAACAGTAAACGTCACCACCGACGGGTGTACCTGAGACAGGACTGCCATGAATTTGACGTCACTCTGCGCTACAGAGTGAGTATAGTTGAGTGCGAGGCTAGACCAACCTGGGATCCAGTATCAGATCTTGTCTCAGAAAACAAAAACAAGGCCGGGTATGATAGCACACACCTTTAGTCTCAGCACTAGGGGCAGGGGGCAGAGCAGAGGCAGGCAGATCTCTGTGAGTTTGATGCTGGCCTCGTCTACATAGTGAGTTTGAGGCCAGCCAGGGCTACATAAAGAGACCCTGTGTCAAAAAAAAAGGGGGGGGGAGGGCAGCACTGGAGAGGCAGCTCAGTGGTTAAGAACATTTGTTGCACTTAGACATATAACAGCTCTCTGGTTCTAGAGAATCCAATGCCCTCTTCTGGCCTCTGTGGACACTGCACACATGTGCTGCATATACATACATGCAGGTAAAAATACCCATACGGATAAAATAAAATCCTTTATTAAAAAAGGAAAAACAAAAGTCTGAGCCAGGACAGAATTCTCCTCACCACAGCTGAACACAAAGGATGCATGCTGATGGAGAGGAGGCCTGAGCAGCTGGCTGTGCTGATGGAGAGGAGAGGAGGCCTGAGCAGCTGGCTGTGCTGATGGAGAGGAGGCCTGAGCA